GAGAGAGAGAGAGAGAGAGAGAGAGAGAGAGAGAGAGAGAGAGAGAGGTCTATCCTGCAGTAAATCAGAGTGAAAGACAGCGATAGCTTTCATGACATGTTGGGCTACAAATCAGTTTGAAGAGATAAAAAGACATTTAAAGAGACAGACAGAGGAGGAGAAAACGCTTATTCATTAAACAAGCTGGAAACTCATTTCCTCCTGGTATGTAATCGGTACAGACGGCTTCTTTCTTTAATTAGCATCAAATCATTTGATTATGATTCATTTTTAAAGCTCAGTCACCGTATTTATCGTAGCAAAAGGTCGGCGAAATAAATATCCAGCAGTCCCAGAACAAGACCGACGCTCCACTTTGTTCCCCAGCTCGTCTCTAACTTTAAATGTCTGTCGCTTCGTGCTGAGCGGGGCGTGAACAGTGAGTTTATCAGAGCTTGTTTGCTGAAAACAAGCGACGCCTTTCGTTCTGCATTGAATCCAAGATATCCAGATAAAGACTGCATGTTAATACCAGATGAATATTAGGCCTAAAGTTGGGATTTGACAAACCTTTGAATGACAGATATGAACCACGGAGCCGCTGTTTTGCTCCAGATTTCAGAGGAAAGTGCTGCTGTTTAGTTTCTCCTGAACTACTGCCATTAAGACATCTTACAGGTTGTTTAAAAGGTTGTGTAGCTTTAGCAGATGAACGCAAACGTTTTGTACTGAAAGAATGTCAGCTTGTCTCCTGGTTGTCTCCCAGAGTAAAGCTTCTCTTAAAGCTTGGACTGGTTTTACTACACTGACTCATCCTTCTTCTATCAGCCCCGCAAGAGGAACCAGAAACAGAAAAGGGACTTGAAAGAATGCATGAGACAGGGATGACAAGGATGCAAGAAAAGCCCAGAAGCACCAGACATTCTTTGTGAAAGAGAGAGAGAGACTCAAATAAGAAGTCTGTTCAACACTTCAGGGCATGAGGAAGCTCAGAGTGACATGGTTTAGAGGACATTAACTCTGGCTGCCTCTGAGAGGATAACTGGATCAAACAGACGGACGTGATTGATCTGAAAGTGACTCCGAGGACAGACGGGGAGATCATCAGGAGCTTGATGGTGAGGAGGACGAGGAGACGGAGAGGAAGAGAAAAGGAAAGACTAAAGTAGAGAAGAGAGGAGGCGACATGACGAGGAGAGGAAACCAAGAAAAGGCAGAAGAAGAGAAATGAGTGAGTGGAGGATCAGTGTTCAGCTCTATTACTGCAGGTTCTCAGTGCTCTGCAGACGCATCTTAACTGTGGTTAGATTCCTGCA